TCATTGCCGCCAAATATCACACTGAAAAACAAAAATCGTTTGAATTGCCTCATTTTTTCGCTTTCCACTTCAAAACTTCAATTCCAAAACAGCGGTAAGCATAATACTTTTAAGTTGTAAAGAGATACCTTGGGACCAAGCAATTTATTTTTGAAGCCTCCGTCAAATATTAAATTCACCAGTGAGACCCAACATCATCCTTTACAATGTCTGCTACAAAATAATGTGTCAAAAAATTATATTATTACTGACCAATATATGTAATATTACTTATATTGAATTTTTGGAATAGAGAATTCGTTGCTGAGGAGTAAACTTCATGGTATCTTAATAAGCATCGAACAATTAATTATAAGCAAAGAGTTTCCTACCACCAAGATTTTTTTGTGATTGCTATATGTTTAAAGCAATTTGATGAACAATTACAGTCCTTCAGGTTAAAAATATTTTTAGTTCTTTCATCTTGTATTTCGAGTATGATTTGGTTCACCATGGAACAAAACGGCGTTCTCTTAAGTCTACTACTATATGATTAAAATGTTGTCTCTATAAAGTTTGCCGTTAGTACTTTCAAACAATATTTATGGGAAGCTGTGTTAGCGCAAGTGCCGACTGTTTCGTTGATTTTTTTATGTTTATGGTTATTAATTCATCCCCTTTTGTCATAAAACGTTGTTATAAAAGTATTAGAAATGTTCTTGGCTAAAAAAAAAAAAAAAAAAAAAAAAAAAAAAAAAAAAAAAAAAAAAAAAAAAAAAAAAAAAAAAAAAAAAAAAACTCCATAGTGTTTATACTCTATTGTAAGGAAATATAATAAATTTATATAAAGCATTTTATTTGGTGATTTTTAAATTTTAAAATATTACTGTTAATTATTTTTAACACAATAACTGCAATTAATATTTTTTTTAAATATGAAATAACTTAAAGGTCTCTATTAAAAAAGGTATTTCTTTTTATTAACGATAAACTAGGTTTAAAAAAAAATATATAGAAATAATTCAATGTTTTTTTTTTAGATTACTTGTTTATTGATAAATATTAAAATCTGTCTCAATTAAGGACACTTATAGCAGGGTTCAGACAATACACCACATTGAATGATTTAAAGAAAGTTGTATATATTTTCTTTTTTCTTTCTTACTCCCAGAGGTAGGAAAATCTTTATATCGATGCAGCACGTTTTAAAAAATTAGCACTTGTGTTTTGTATTTTAGACATCTATAACTACTACCGATGTAGAGGTGGTTGACCGTTGATATGATATGAGAAGGAATTAGTCGAGGGTGCGGTCAAACAAAATAAAAAAATTAAAATATATAAATAATTTTAATTTTTGCCGACGTTTCGACCCACTTTGCAGGTCGTCTTCAGGGCGTTGGATGTGGCACTGCGGGAGGCGGTTGAAACACTCACAACAGTGTTTCAACCGCCTCCCGCAGTGCCACATCCAACGCCCTGAAGACGACCTGCAAAGTGGGTCGAAACGTCGGCAAAAATTAAAATTATTTATATATTTTAATTTTTTTATTTTTTTGACCGCACCCTCGACTAATTCCTTCTCATATAACTACTACCGCTTATCCTATTTTGATCAAGTTTTCAGGAAATGTTTTAGTACTTATTAGTTGTTATGTGTGCTTGTTAACTATATAGTCTCATGCCGATTTTGTTAAATTCCTAATTGTGGGTTTATGTTTAACTGTAGTGAATAATTGAAGAGAAAAATGGTTGGGGTGACCAGTAAAAAAGAAATATAGTAAAAATAGAGAAAATTAGTAAAATTTGGTCTCGTGTCAGCTCTCCACCTGACCAGCCCTGATGAAAGGCTGAACTTTGGGCCGAAGCGTCGGTAAAAATAAAAATAAATATACTTAATTATTTTTACTTTTTTTTTTTTTTGACAGATCACCCCAACCATTCTTCTCTTCAATTTATTAAATTCCATTTACAACTTTCGCTTAGGTATGCGCAAATGTATTTTCATAGAAGCGCCTATATTTCGATTCGGTTTACAGATAAATTTTTATTATTTTTGATTTTACCATTAAACATGGTTCGGAGTTTGACTGACTGTAAATATAATATATTAGTATGAATTTTTGTCATGATGATTTAGTCATTTTTACTTAATTGTTTTTCTGCTTGTTATTTTAATTATGTTATATTTTGTTCATTGGTGTGTATCTATTATTTTATCAATTTTAATCCGTGTCGTTTTTTCATTTTATATACTTTTTTTTCTTTGTATTAAAGATTTTTTCTCTTCTTTAATTACTTTACTTAAGTCTGTATTTATGATATGAATGAATAATGAGTCCTGATGCTTGGTGCCTTTGTGTTTGGCAACTTATATTAGGTTAAAAAAAAACATACAAAAAACACAGTTATAATTTCCAAGTATAATAACATAATAAATAAAAATAATATTAAAGTCCATAATTTTTATTATACATAGATTTTTCTTCAATTTCTCCAAGCTGTACTGAACATTTATTTTTGCGTAACATTTATTTTTTTAAACATACATACGAATAAAAAATAATTGTGACGAATACATATTTGTATTGTTAATGTTATGAATAATTTATAATTATTTTACGCTGTAATAATGAGGCATTTCAGCAGCTTCTGGGTATTTTATGTTATTTATAATTCAAGCAAAAGAAATGAGTTGGCTGAAATCCATAAATTATAAAATATCAATATTAAGTTTTAATTTAGATATTTTATAGTAATGTAATATAATTTATTTATATTTATTTTTGGGGTGTTTTTAGGATGTAGATGTAAGATGTGCTCCACTTTATCTTATTTATTTTCTACCTACGATGAGGTCTAACTGGCTTGCTAGAATCTTCGTTGACAGGTCAGTTGTTTACAGATATATTACCGATATATAACACACTCACACACACACACATTATATATATATATATGGAATAGACTAGAAAAATAATTTTATTCTGGGACGAAGTCCCTTCAGATCGTTTTATATATATATATATATATATATATATATATATATATATATATATATATATAACATGTATATTATTCTGTTTACAGATTTATTTGTTGTTAACAGATATATTAGGTTAGTTGTTTTCAAATATATCAGACCTCATTACTACTGTATAAAATTAGTTGTTTACTCTATGTTTAGAATTATCTCATTACTGTAGTGCAGTTTTTTATTTAAAACTAAATCTAGGACGTCGTTATTTTCACTTCAATGGTATTTTAGTAAGATGCAGTTAATGATGAAATGAAATAGTTGAAGCCCTTAGGCCATGTCGTTCAAGATAAGAATAAATGCATAATGACAATTGCTGAATTATGCTAATCGTAAAATTTTCCTTGCGTGGCGATGAAAGGTTATACTCTAATTTATACACTAATCTCATCCTTAACAATTTAATCGGATTTCGATTATTTTGTAATTTACCTATTTAATCGCTTCTAACTATGGAATCGTGTTATTATTTTTTTTTTACTTTGTTAATATAACAAGATCATCATATAAATGCCCGAATAAAATATATTTTATATAAAATTTATTTTTATTATTATTGCAAAATAATAAATTTTTGTTTATGAGAATATAATTTATTTAATTAGTATTAAATTATAGTATTGGAGTTGGATCTTAGTTATACCAGTAAATTATCGTTAAAATATACAAATGTATTACATTATATTATATGTATATACGGTATATTTTTAATATAATACAATACTCTTGTTTGCGTGTTGTATTGCTTATAATAATACTGATGTTTATTTTAATCACGATTTACTGTTGTAATTAAGGTCCAACCCCAATACTACTATTTAACTAAACTTTTACAATAATAATGAAATGCAACTCTCTAATAAAATGCTATTGTACCAATATTTAAAAAAAAATTATGTTTTTTAATCGACTCTGTAAAAATTGATTTAAAATATAATAAATTTAAATTTATTTACAATGATTTTTATTGCATTAATTAATTATTTATTTCATATGAATTAATTTTTTATTATCAATGAAATAATCATATATTATTTAATAAAATATTTTTCATTATATTTTATATATTTCTGTAGGTATTTATAGCAAACGAATTTATTTGTGAACTACATTTATTTGTGAACTACATTTATGAGATAAATATTTCTGTTTAAGTAATAAGAAATCGACATCAAACGTATAAACAATATAATGTTTTTTAACCAGTTTTTAGAGTTTATATTAATATCAGTGGTATGATTTGTATGGTAACAATTTAATTATTTATAAAATTCATATAACAATCATTAAAGAAATCCGGTATTTCTCTAGTTTTTATTAGTTAACAAACATATTGTAGTGTGGTGGCAATAGTTACCGTTTTTAAAGAAGTAGAGTTGCTGGCTTTCTGAACGTTGTGCCTATATTCGACTTCAAATAAAAACTAAATGTGAATTGGGTTAGAATGCGTTTTTCTTGTGACTCATGCAATAGAAAAGTCCATTAACGTACTTGCACGGTCGATACCATGCTCTCATATCATCAACTGAATTGGATATATATTTTATATATGGCAGGAAACCGTTTTTCATAACTTCCGGTTAGCAGGGTGTGGAAAAGCGTTTTAGGAGGTCATCCGAGCGGAAAAGTAATGTGTCGAGAAGGCTGTGGTTCGACGCCTCATAAGACAATTACAAGGGACCGGATACGATAATTAGCTCTGAGAGGGACTAAAAAGGCGGCAGGTGAGACTTTTGATTGATCTAGGATGTTTGAAGAAGTGGCGGTCGGCTAAGGAGAGGGTTGACAGCGTGTAACTCTAGCCGGTAATCAGATGGAGGGGGGAGAAGCCTTTGATCCGTGCCGACAGTAGGCGTGGCCTGGCGGCTGGGAAGGGAGAGCAGGCAATGTGATTGGAGGAGACCGGTCACGCCCATTCATCCCCTCCACTCGTCACCGCCCGGTGGCCGCCCGGCTCAGTCCTATCGGAGATGTGATGGCAGACATGAGGCCGGAGGAAAAATCTGAAGACGAGATCAGCGTCGGTTGTCCGAGCCCGCCCAAGTACGATTCCGACGCATCTGAAATCCACGACGATTACTTCAAACCACTGAAAAAGTTGAAGATGGTGCAGATAGACAAAGTGACTTATTCTATATCAAGCAGCAAGAAGAAGAAGAGGCCGCGGCGGCAGAGTTTGGAATCGGCCGAAACGGGGACGAACGGCGTTAAATCGTTTTCGATCCTGGACATTCTGAATCACCGGCCGGCGAGGGAGTCGAGGATCGTGAGGCCGTGGGACGAAGGAGGATCCTGCCTGCCCGCCCACCGCGGCCTCCTCCCGCCCCCGCCTATCTTGTACAGGCCCAAATCCGCGGACATGTACGAGACCTGCAGTTCCGGGAGGTCGAGCACTTCCGAATGCTGCACTTCCCCGGACATCGTGCCCTGCGGCCGCCAGCAGCAAGGCAGGAAGCCCAAAGACACCTCCCCGCTGGACGCACTCTTCCAGATGACCTCCAAGACCTTCGAGGAGCTCAACGGAGAGTCAGGCCAAGGTAGGTTCTATTTCTTTGTATATCGAATCTAATTGTGGAATATTAGAATTAGTTTATAATAGAATAATAGCTTACAAAAGTGTCACTTGGCCAAATTCTGTCAAGTTAGGCGTTGTTCGTTATCTGATAGTGTTATCAATTGCAGGTTCCATGCATTCCTTAAGCCGACAATGATCGCACAATACAAAGCTTTTGATATGTACTGCTGTTCAATACATGTAGGTTCCAAATTGAAATAGAAGTGTGATATTTTTGTTCTCCTCAGAAGTATAGTTCCCATATATATATTTTTATTTCCACCATCAAATCCTTCTTTAACATTTTTAAATTTTACATTATGGTTTCTTGTATTTTCAGAGAAAATATACTATCAATATTAAAATGAAATGATATTATGAGTTTTCGGGGTGTCAAGTATTTTAAGTTTGCAACATGATTCTATACCGATTTATTGATTGTATTTGTACCGTCATTAAATCGGTTATTATTTTTTCAACCACATTTTATAAAATGATAATAATCATTAATTTGGTATGCGTTTGATTAATTTGGTAATTTGGTTTTAGGTAGTTCTTACTTCAAAGAGCTTTTTGCTTATCATATCAACAGTTTCTTTCAAAAGTAATTTCCTTTTTTAATAGACTAATTCTTATTTATTCGGTTGTTCATTGTTAATCGTGTAAATTTGAAATTCCTTGAAAATGAAAATAAAGAGACAGGTTTAATAATATTATTTAATCTCATTATTTTTTTTGGAAATATACTTTATTAAAAATCCAGTTTGCGTCATTGCCGTATGAACTGTTGTATTGAAGTTATAGATATATTAAACAAAAATCTAATGTTATGGTATTATTTTAATAGGATGACTAATTATATTTACTATGAGCTACTATTTTAAATATGGCATATTTATAATGTTCACAAGTTTTAAAACAAACAACAGGAAATATAAGTTTTATTTTTGCATTAAAATGATAATAATTTTTTGCTGCCGATATACTTAATATTATAAATTAATATTTAAACAAAAATATAGATCAGAGTTGCATTTCATCAATCGTTTAAATAAGTCTCATATTAAAGGATCAGAAAATGTTTTCTCAAAGTGATAATCAAATTTAAAAAAACGGGAACATAAATTACTATATGATAACGATTGTGGCTACACTATATTTTCGTTATATTAGCAAACGATATTGATATAATTGATAATACTGCTGCATTATTTAATATATAAATAAATGTTACCATTGGAGATTAACTAATATTTTATTTATTTAAATGTACTTTAATTATATAAACATTGTAACTGATAGGTTATTACCGGTTTATGGATACAATATTTTGTTTCAGATAACACATTCACAGATATTTTAATAATTAAATTTGTTGTTGTCCATTAACAGTAAAAGTTTTATATTTATATTTATTGCTGTTATTCATTAAATAAATGAAATTCATGTATGTATAATCTCATTATTATTTACAGAAAAAACTAAAACGGCTTTTGTAGTTTTGTAGTAATAAAAAAAGTTGGGCTTATGGAATTTAAACTAAAACTGTGTACTAATTATATAATAAAGATTTTATACAATAAATAAATAAACGTATAAAGTATAGATATCGGAACATGTAGTTTATATTGGAATCTATAGACCATTAATTTTGTTTAAAGCCAAAAAAAAATACCACTTAATTAAATTGTTTTATTATTTTTACCGTCATAATTTTTCATCCATCCATTAATTATTAATCCATCTTTGGTCTGCTATCGAGAATTAATTTTTAATGGTTTATTATTGCTAGTTTCATTGATAAAAGGACTATCTTGAATTTTTTTAAAAATGTATTAATTTCTTTAAAATATGAATAAAGCAACTTAGAAGAGAACAAATATTTCACCATTTGTGCTTCACATTTTATATTCATTTTATAATAAATATGTTGACTTCTTTTTGAAATGTCGGCTCTAAGCTTTATATTATAATTGTGAACAATGCGGCTTGTTGAGCCAATATTAAAAAAAAACATATAATAGCAAATCTGTTACTGGTAATTTGATATTTTATTACCGATTAAAAAAAAAATTATAAATGATAATCCATAAAATTAGCATAAATGATTTAACGGTAGATAAATATCAGCGTCGTTTCTTACTAATCAATTGATTTCTAAATAAGGAATGTTAGAAATTGTGACTCTGAAATAACATTGATAACAATATATATATTATTAAACATTTATATATAGTATTGCCTATTTATATTTTTATTACTTCAAGGAAGATATAGATTATCCAAATTCAGATATAACCCAGACTAAAATATCCACTTGCCATTATTGCCTGCTATTAGCTGTTTATTTTGGAAATTATTTAAGAGCTGTTTTAAAATTAATTATAAAATAACACGTGGAATTAAGAGGTTAATTTATAAACTTTTACTGCATGTAAATTATTAATTAGTTTTTAAAAAACATGTTAAAATAATAATCTGTTTATATATATATATATATATATATATATATATATATATATATATATATATATATATAATTCTCTTTTGGTTTATGTCTGTATGTAATAGTTAAAAATCATTAAACTAATCCTGAACTAAATGCTATGCTAAAAACAATGTCAACAAATTCGAAAAAGCTGGTAAAATCCAAGTTAAAATTGGATATATTGTGAATTTATTTTAAAAAAAAATTGTACAGATTTTTTTTTGGGTGGTGTTCCATAAATCATGTTAGGTTCCTAAACCTTCGAGGACACTTCAAACAGCCCAAAGTGCCCCTTGGAAAAGCTTTCCAGAGATTGTCAAAGTTTCTAATATTATTCACAAAGATCAAAGGAAACACCTTAACCCTCATGCTTATCTAAATAATTCAAAATGTACTGCATTATATATGTTTGGCTAATGATTTATTATAGATGTTTGTAAACAAATCCAAAATTTGAGATATTATTCATTTATTTGTTTGTATTTTTTAAACACTCCAACATATCAGATCAAGCTGATAAAACTGTTATAACTTTACCGGGTTATTAAATATATCAATTTTATTACGTAAAATTTATGAAAAGAAACCAAGATATTATTTAAAAAAAAAATGTAAGATAAGATAAATAGGTACATTTTTACCTTTAACTGAGCCCCCAATCGACTTCTACTAATGCTCCTACGGTCATCTATTTCTCCACCAGTAATGGAAAATAAATGACGTCATAATTGTGTACACAAACTAATCCAAATCAAATATACACGTTATGTAATTATAATATTGTCCATACATAGTATATCATTCGACAACACTAGTAAGATTTATAAGTAATCTAATTTTTAGTACTTGAATCAAAAGTTTGGTATTTTCCAATTTTAAATTCATCCTCAAGAGCAATGTCACATTCACTCTGACAGGAAATTTTATTTTATTTTTTTTCTATTCAATAATGGTAGAAGTTTAAGCAAAAGTTTTAAAATTATAGTTTAATTTTTTTCTTTTTCTTGGTTTGAAATTCCTCCTCAAATTGAAACATGGAAAAAAAATTGTCCTCGTGTGTCCTCTCCAAACTACTCTAGTCACTCCATTGTGTGTTACTAGGAAAACTTTGGACACCCTAACTTCAGAAATCGGAAAGACAAAAAATAATTATCTATACCTTAGCGAAATTACAATATTTTTTCTAAACTAAAAAAAAAAGATTCAGATAATAATAAAAAATAATTAATAAGAACAATTGTATATTTATCTTATTTGCTATTATTGGAATTAATTTATATATTAAAGGCTTAAAGTTGGTTAAATACCTATTTAACTAAATAAATTTATAGTATTTATATATTTTTATTTATCGTAAGTACTTCAAAATAAAAAAATATAATAAAACTCTGGTAAAAGCTTACTATAAAATTTATCAAGATTTCTAATTTTTAAAATAATTATAAATATGTGAAATTTTTATTTTTATCATTATTAATTAAGAAATTAATAAGTAATATTTAAAATTTTATTTAATGTAAATAATTTCAAATAAACATTTTTTCTTCTGATACCGTTTGCAACTCCATTATAAATCAATGATTTTAATTATTTTTTAAAATATTGTTTGTGATCATCTAAAGCTGATTTTGTTTTTAATATTATTTTGTTGCAAGCAGTAATTATGAAAGAAAATTTTCTCTTCTATTTTACAACGGTTAGACTAAAGATAATTAGTGTCAAGAAACTATCCAACTGTCAGTGTTTAAAGGTCTTGTACATTGCTAAACAGTGTAGATATGTTTATCTTACATCCGGATCTTTTAATGTTCCTACCTGTTAAGTAGGAATCAGACAGTTTTCCTTCTCTATTTCTGCTTCTCTTGCTACAGTGATTATTTAATTGTTAATATTTAATAATTAGTTAATAGTAAATTATTTAATATTCTTTTAATTTAAATCCGTTGATGTATGGACTTTATTTGTGAATTATATCATTTAAAGATGTGTAGTTTAGTAGATATAGAAGAAAGCAGAAAATGGTTAAATTTATTCATTAAATTATTTTTAATTTGTTTTACAGTTGATTTATAAATAAATATATAATATATTCTAATAAATTATGTTCCTATTTTTATTTATTTTATGTTTATAAAATAATTATTTTATCAGATTTATAAATAAATTACCACGATCTTTACCCAAATCTTTCTAAGATATTTACAAGTAAATCTCGATGTATACATGAAACCAATTATAGTGTAATGCTAAAATTTTATGATATGAACACCTACGTCGAGAGTTTATAGGCCTAAAAATATGTCCTTGCGATTAAAAAAATAATAAACAAATTGGATATTCAAAAAAAAAAAAAAAAAGCTACAAATAAATAATTTTAATTATATTATCTTATGATTTTATGATAATCAATTTCTAAATTTTTTAAGTAGTTCTAATTGCTATTCGACTCATTTCAGCTCTTTATATTTCATTTATTTTATATTTTTTTAAAATAT